ATCTTCCCCCACAGGTCAGATACGGTCTGACCGTGCCAAGTATTTTTCATTTAGGAATTAACTTTAGGGATGCAGAGTTACTGTACATGAGCAGAAAACTCTCCTATAAATTTCCTCTATTTCATGGCTAATGTTTTTGCCCAACTTGTTTTCAAAGGGACCTGGTTGTATATGGCTCTGGGTCCAGCTCTTCTATCTTGATGTTAAAGCTGGCAGTAACATTTGGGCTGAGGATTCACGGACTCAGCTTTGCATAAAACTGACTGTCTGGAAGAACTGGAAAAGGGTCCAGAAGATTGGACTCAAGACTCACAGGACAGGAGGAATGCAGAGAACTAGGGACCACTTTATGGACAAAACCAAAGGAAGGTGGAGAAAGAAGACAAAAACAGAGATGGAAAAGCAATAGGCCAAAACGGGCTTCATTTTCCCAAAGGGTGATGCTGAATGTGACAACAGGATACTTGATATCTGGCAGTAATTAAGTTTTTAATTAGGCTATAAAAAACAGATTCCCCCTTGGAGCAACCTCACCTGCAGAACTGAGTTTATTTATGCCTTGGGTTACCTGCTAAATAGGTTTGCTGGGGAAACCCTTCTAGATTAAAAGGGAGGATGAAAGGGCTGAGTGGAGGCTCCCTTGTGCTTAGTTTCTTTGGCACAGCCAGTTCCCTTTTTACACAGGAAACATTAAATGAGGGAGGCACCCAATCTGGAGAAAAGTTGTACTTTTTCCCTTTTTTCCCCCTGATTAAGCCTAGCCTAAGATTTCTTTCAGCAAAAGGGTACTTAAAGCTGACAGACCTCTAGAGACCTGCTGTACCTGGCAAAGAGAGGAAGGAAGCACCTTCAGTAGGTATCTTCTCCTGATACCCCTCCCCATGCTGCTGGTGCTTGGGGAATACAGGGTGGGCTCAGGGCAGCACCAGGAGGGATGGAGGAGGGAATTCACCCCTGCCAGAGCTGACTTCTGACCCTGGCTTCTGAAGAGCAAATTTGGGATGCTAAAGGCATCAGGTGACAGCTTGCCCCATTTCCCACCAGCAGGCACAGCTCAGGAGAGCTTTGTCCTGCTGCAAATTGCTTGAGCGAAACAGGATGGGAGTAGACAAGATCCTCCCTGTCCTTTGGAAAGAGAGTGCGCAGCAGCTCACCTTTTTTCATCTTTCAAGAGGCTCTTCAAAGGTTTCTGCACAAAGAACCCAAACTTTTAGATCTCGTTTGCTTCCCTGGCAGCCCTGCAATATGGAAGGGTTGGCAAGGCAGGAACTTTCCTCCCAAGGAAGTTAGCACACCAGGAGGGCAGGATCATAGGATGGAGCAGAAACTGGGAACTGGAGCAGAGGAGGGATGGAGGGAAGCAGAAAAGAAGAGGTAGAGGGGGGGAAATACATCAAGGAATTCCCCAGCCCAGCTGGCCACAGCCAGAAAAGCCTTGTTCCTCCATGCAGGGCCCAGCACCATTCAGGTGGATGAACTGGTTTCTCACAGGGCAAGACACTGAGGCACGAAGGTCTGTGATATGCCACAGGATCCAAAAAAAGGGAAGCCTGTGCCAGGGTTACACTGCAATTAATGATGCCCTAATTGTGCTGGCAGCCCCTGAACCACATCCATGGTCTCTGTCAATTAAACTAGATTATGGAATGATCCTTGCTAATTATATATTATTATCTAGCAAGCAGTTATCTCCCTATAAAGGGTGCTCCTATAATGGACAAACACTGTTCCTTCTAGCACAGCCAGCCCCAATGGCAAATAAAAAAAGAAAAAGCCAAAACCATTTCTGCTGTGGCCAATATTTTGCCTAAGCTGAAATTTTCACATTGCAAACACACTCTGCACTCCTGTCCCAGATGGAGGGAGGAAGAGGAGGGCTGTAACATGCAGAACCAGCTGGAGACAGGAGGCAGAGTCAAATCTGCAGCCCTCCCAACCTGCTGCAGAGGCATGACTGTAAGCTCAAAATCCAGCTGTGAACTCTCCCATCCATCATGAAGCAAATCCCCCACTCAGCCTCCACACACCAAAATCCCCATGAGCAGGGGAGGAGGACCTTGCTGTCCTTGGGGCTGTGATGACCGGGAAACAGAGTTTAAAATAAGCTGGGAAAACAGCTCCCGGTAAATGCCGTCATTGCATATTTAATTGTCCATATGCTTGATCCATTATGTTTTCCCAGATGGCTGGGCTGCTTGACTAGTGCCTCTTCAACTGTGCCACCACAGCCAGGGTCTCCAGTGACTACCTCAGTCCCCAAGGTAGAGACACCCCCATGGTAGGATCTGTGTCACTATGACCAGGGTCTCCAGTGGGTACCTAGATCCCCAAAGTAGACACACCCCTGGAGCAGGCTGGCATTGCCCACCTGAGCAGGCAGGATTAGCTGCAGCTTCCCCCAAGCTGTGACGGACCGAGGACTGTTGTGTTGGGACATTGGTAAGTCCATCACTGTGCTGGGAGGGAAGAGGGGGAGCTGATGGTACCTAATGGTGGGCACTGGGGGCTCCTCCCCAACACCAACCTGTCCTCAGTCCATCACCAGCGGCTCAGGGGAAGCTGCCAAGTGGCCTCTTGCTGCCCCTGTGGTTTTATTCTCCCAAACAGAGCCAGTGGCCAGGGCACCTACCTTTTGATGGGCTGGCAGTGCCCACGAGGCATCACCTCCTCCAACTTCCCACTGCTGTTCCAGATGCAGTATCGGGTGCACAGGCAGTGAGCGCTGTCCTTCCCAGCACAGACCCCTTCTCACCCACCAAACCACCCATGCCAAGGTCCTGAGGAGCTGTAACTGGCTTGGTGGAAAAGTGGCTGGTAGCCTCCTGGTCTTAAACACCAATCCTCAAGAAAACCAACCCAAGGAGCAGCAAACCTGCTCGTGCTCCAGCCCACAAACTGCCCTTGTGCTCACCCCAGGGCCAGTCCCTGCTAGAATTAACCATAAAGGTTAGAGGAGAGGCTGCAAGATTAGGGAAGCCCGGCCAGCTTCATTCCTGGCATTCTTGGGGAAGGGAAAAATCTCCAGAGCAACCCCTGCTGTGGTGCTGCTCAGCCTCACACCGGGTGACTCCAGGGGGACATCAGAGCAGTGATACCAGCTCAGAGAAAGTTGGCACCTATCCTGCATCCCACTCCTTCCAAGCCCCACAGCTCTGGGGCCATCAGGGACACTGATCCAGACTGGGTTCAGCTGCAGGGTTGGATCCAGCTGTGCTGAGTTTGCAGCCTCAGCAAAACCCTCCCACCAGCTCCTCTGGGCTGCTCACGGTCATCACAGTTGCACCTGAATGGAGCTGCTCCAGGTGTGGTGGAATTTTCCAGGGCTTCCAGATCCTCCTGTTGTGGATCATGACACCATGTGCTTGCTGGGCCCCCCAGTGGGATGGCCAGTCCTGCCCAGTGCCCCAGGGCCGAGGGAGCAGGGTCTCATGCCAGCAGCAGTGCCCATTTTGGGGCACTTCCACCCTTGTGGCATTTGTCCAACTCAGCAGCACAAAAGCACAGCCCCCTTCAGCACACCCCACCAGGGTGACACATCAGGAAAACCTTCTGGTAAACAGAGAAAACATGGAAAGCATGGCTGGGATTTTTCGGATATTTTAGCTCAGCTTCTCTCCGGTAGGAGCAATTCCCCCAGGGAAGGAGAGGGATAAACGAATTGATCTCCTGGGGGCTCTTCCAGTCCTGTTTTCTGTGATCTACAATTTTCCAACAGTTCTGCACTGGATTTGCACTCAGACATTCGCAGGGGGATAACGGAGGCTCTCCCTCCCGCACAACAGCAAAGCCTTTGTCTGCTCTGGAGAGACGCGACTCCGTGTCCATAAGCAAAGCCAGGAAATGGGGCGGCTGCATCCAGCCCGGCACAATCGAGTCATCATGCTCTAAATAAATAATCAGATGAGTAACAGGAGCACTGCCTGTGCCCGCTGCTCTCCCGCTTGCTCGGGAAGCACCAGGCACACTATGGAGGGAAACTGAGGCCTGCTGTGTGAGGACCACAGTCACGGTGGAGGGAAGGACTGCTGGTGATGGATTCCTGATGTCTCTGCCCCTCATCTGAGAGGCTTTTACATGAGAAGAAGGGTTTGTTTCACAAAGTGACCTGGACAGTCCCTCTCTCCTGGCTGTGTGCTTGTGTTGTCCCCCTCCCCAGCCAGGGCACTACGTCAGGGAAGAGGTGGTTTAACAGGGAATGTCAGTGAGCAAATTCCTGCAGAGCAGGGAGAGACTGGATGCCTAAACCTAATAGAAAAAATCAGAGCCTGAGAGACGGCAGAGGATGACTGGAGGCTGAGAAGGGCTGGTGTTCAGCAAGTATCAGAGGCTTTTCTTGCTCCAAGTGGGATGACTGGCTTGAGTGGTTTGCTGCTGGTGGCAGCTGCAACTGCAGCTGCAAATGCTGTCAGAAGCAAGATGGGAAAAATCTCTTGTAAACATTCAAGCTGCATTAATAGCCCCATCCATGAGCCCCTGGATAATGCTCTGCAGGGCCGTGGGTGCTGAGGATCCCCTTGGCTCAGGGAGCAGAGCTGTTCCCACAGCACCAGTCCTGCATCCACAGGGGTGTGTGCAGGTGAGTGCTGTGCCCAGGGGTGCGCAGGCAGCTTTGAACTGGAACCAGAGCTCACCCTGGGGTGAGCACAGCCATGGTCCCTTCTGCTGTTGGACCCTGGTCCAACTCCTTATTTGAGTGCAATACCAACAGCTACCCCATACAGCCTTTTTTCCTGCAAATCGCAGGGTACTGAAGGCTCCAGATGGACAAGGAGGTGCCTGTCCTGCAGGCAAGGGCTGGATGCTGCTGGGTGCTGAGGGCTCCCCTCTAGGCACAAGCGGCTGTAACATTTACCTATTTCAGCAAAATCTGGGTCACCAAGAAGATTAATTATATTTTCAAGTTTTCTTCAGTTGTCAAATCTTGTAACTGTGGTCTCAAGCTGACAGTTCTATACCCAGCAATTAACCAGCAGCAAGGCTCTGTAGGCGGCGGGGGGGGGGGGTGGGTCTGGCCTTGTTTTCCATCTACATACACAACAGGCTCTCAAAACATTGTCTTATGGAGCTTAATGGGGCTGGCAAATATTTCCTTCGGAAATCTTGCATTTGGTTACATGTTGCACCAACAAACACCAAATCAATTCTAAGGAAGGCTCCTTCTTAGGAGGCGTGCACAGATTTGTGCCTTCTTCCCGCCCCAGACACCCTCTCAGGCATCCACAGGCTTGTGCAATCCAGGAGGAGAAGCTGCTCAAGCCTCATCCTTTTCCTTTGCTGCTGCTTCCCCTGATGCCCTGATGTATAGAACTGTTCCAGAGGGAAGCAGGACATCGGTCAGGGTAGCCTTTCACTGATGGGAGTATCCTATCAGTCCCTGCTAAGTGCTGGATTCAGCAGCAAGAAGGGTTTGCTGTGCTGTGCAATGTTTTTCAGGGATACCCAGTCCCCTCCTTAGGATGCATTCACGTTTGGAGACAACAACAAAAAAATGGCTCCTGGATTACGCACTGCCCTCAAGCTCCATTTTTTGTCCCTAATTAACCATGCTGGGACATTTTAAGATCTCTCCCTGCACTGCAGTGTGTTTTACACAGGCTGGAGTGGGGGTGGCCCCTACACAGGCTCCCAGGGCTGTGTGCACCCTGCTTCCACAGAAAGATTTTATGTGGCTTTGCCATATGCTGGCTCTGACCCACACCAGGATGAACACAGGCTGTTCTGTGACAGCCACTCCCACTGTGATGCTGAAGGGGAATGTCCTTTGTGTTGGGATGGCACAAGAGGCAGGCAGGGGCTATTCAGCCATCCATCAGGGCTCATGGTGAGGATCCCCAGTTTTCTGGAGGGACAGGTGACCACAGGACTCTTCTTGCTCTGGGGTTGCTAAGCTCACCGTCTGCAGGGACTAAGGGGGGAGGTCTGGTGTCACTGAGGTCCCAGGGCAGCTAGCCCCTCCTGCCAAGGCCATCTTTACAGGATTACAAAAGCCTCCACACTCCAGCATCTCAGGCTCCATGGCACCACAGCCTGCCAAGCCACAGGAGGATTCACTCATGTTTTCAGACCTCAGGAGCGAGGCTGGTACAGAGTTCACAGCAGTGGGTACCTCAATATGCTGGAAAGGAGGAAAACACAGAGGAGAGGAGAGGAAGATTGTTCTCTTCCCCTCCAGCTGCTGGTGGCTGAGGTGCTCATAGTGAGTCCTGAGAGAAGGTGAGACAATATGCGAAGATCAAATGAGCTCCAGGGCATGGCAAATTCATCTTATCACATCACCCACAGACGTCCAGAAACGCCACCTGGGAGCATCTACACGAGCTGCATCTGTACGTGCCAGGTGGAGATACCTACAACACAGCTCCATGGTCCCCCCCCAAGCATGGGTGGGAGCGTGGAGAACATTTGTTCAGAATACAGCTATATTTGGGGATGGTTTGTACCTTCAAGAATTCAGCAAGAAATAATTGACAGGATGATTTGCAGCCATCGGCAAACAACGCTACTTTCCTGAAAGCAGCAGCACTAGAGGGAAAACAAATTGAAGCAGGTGCGGGAAGAGTTAGGGAGCGCAAGAATTGCATTCCTGAGCCAAATGGACAGATTGAGACAGAGGAAAACAAATTGGGAAGGGAAACGGCTGCCTATTGCCTGAATTTTTCAGGAGGTGGAGGTTGGGTTCAGGCTCAGTTTCAGGGCCTGTGAGCTGTGCCTCTGTTCAGGTAGCTGTGTTAGTTCTCAGCCTGTGCTGAGGGCTAATTCTGGGGTATGCTTTTGCCCTGGGCAGGACTGGGATTGCAAGCCCTGGAAATCTGGAAAGCAGCATCCTACAGAAGTACCAGCCCCACTACTGCGATGACCATGAGGAGCCCGGCCAGAATGCAGATGCTGATGAAGACAATGTCACTGGTGTCCTGGCTCTTGATTTCATGGGCATCCACTGCTTCCCCCTCCCAGTGCTGGGCATCCACCAGGTTTTCTGCCTGGCTGAGCCTGGAGGGGTCAGGGCCAGCAATGAGGGTCACCGAGGCTTCCTTCCTCTTTGGCTCACACTGCACCTCGTACTGGTGGATGTCCTCCTGGTCACCCACTGAAAAATCGATGTAGAGGGTGCTGACGATGACGGATGTGTTGTTGCGTCTCTGCAAGACAAGGGTCACAGCTCATCAGGGCTTTGTGCAGCTCCTCTTCACAGGGGTTTGAAGGGACTGGCCATGAATCGGACGGGTATCAGCTGGGAAGATGTGAGAGGGACTGGGAATGCCTCTCTGCAGCCAGTACAGCAGCACAGGGTTAACCATCTACCCAGCCTGCTTTAAAGAAGGGTTTGCCGACCGCTTACCTGGGATTCGGTGCCACAGGTGTCGAACCTGGTGTGTATTTTAAAGTTCCTGCCAACCACCCGGGCTGCACAGGAGGGGGTCCCCAAATAAATCCTATTCCTCTCCAGCTGGGCCAGAGACTGCACGGGGATCTGGATGTGGAAGTCTGTCCTGGTGCAGCTGACGTTCATGGGCACAACTGCTGGAACAGAAAACACATGTGGAACTCATGATGAGTTTTCAGGAAAAAAGGAGCTACACCAGAAATTCAGAAAGCAATATCAGTGTTTTAGTCCTGTCCCATGCCAAGGGGACACACGGATGGCTCCCAGGCACTGCCCTGCTTTCTGCCCCAGGGAGAGACCTTACCATCAACCCTCTTGAACCTCATCCTCCTTCCCAGGTCTCTGAGTGACACACAAGTGCCACTACAGGCTACATCATCATGCTGTCACTGCCACTCTCCATCACTGCAAATCCAGTGAGACATTTGAGTTGGTGCCCAGGACCAGACCACACGAGCTTTGTGGATGGCTTGCTGTGGGCACAGGGCTCCCCTGCATCCTACAACACTCCTGCAAGAGATGCTCTACAGGGACAAAATGGAGGGGATGTCTCTCAGAGGGACCCCACGCCCACCCTGGAGCGATGCAGCTGCTTGGCTGCCCCTAGGAAAGGGTGAGCTGGGTCCATGGCCCCAGTGGATGGCCCAGCCCAGATCCTCCTGTCACAAGCATCATCAGCCCTCCACTGCTCTCAGAATGCTGGTTTTGAGGGGGAGCTGGTGAAGAGAGTGCACAGAAGGAGCTGCTGTTGAGCTGTCCAGGATGCTGAGAGAGAGCAAGGCAATGGTGATCCCAGCCTCTCTCTATTACTATCCCTCTGGCATCGTATTTGGCCCCTCTGGCTGCAGAAAGCATCCACACAGAGAAAGAAGCAGGGAGGAAAAACGCCCCCCTCTTTAAAGTGAATCCATGCTCAGCTTGAACCAACCACTTGGGCACTATGAATTATTGAATTATTCCAGCTCCTTCTGAATCTGGGAAGATGCAATAAAATCAATACAAAAAAATAGTGTGACTTTGCTTCACTTAGTGCATTATAAAACCATTAGAATATTTACCAAATAACTAAAGTGCATTAGATCAAGAAGAGGAGAAAGTGGATCCTCTATCCTGCCGTGAGGGCTTTCATTCAAATGGCCATAAATCACACAAGCCCAGCCCAAGCCATGCCCTTCTGTGGGCCCAAAAGGAAAATATCTGCATGGCTGAAGGGCTGTGGATGTGGAGGCTGAGGTGCCTCTGGGGGCTCCCGAGGAAGCTGGTGGTGGGGAGAGGCCAGTGTGTCCAGTGGGAGCAGCCACTATCCTGGCAGTGCTGGCAGCTCGATGTGCCACACAGGAACCTAATCACAAGCAGATGCTGGAATCCCCAGGCAAACACAGCCAGCACCCTCAGCTTTATGAAGAGAGGCTCAGTTTCACGTCCAAGCTTTTGTCCTCCCCTAACCCGCATCTGAACGATGTGTGTACCAGTGGATGCAGAAACCTTGGGCAACTGGGAGAAGTCACATCCCTCTTTGTGATGGGACACACCCCACTCTTCACTAGCACCCCATCTATGTGTCTGCAGCCTCCTCCGTTGGGAGCAGGGTTTCTCCATGACCAGACACAGCGAGGCCAAGATTCTCTCCCTGCACACTGCTGTAAAACAGTGAGAAATAAGGACAAGGATGTCCTGCTGTGCACACTACTGCCCTGCTCCATGTTCAGCATGTCTATCCCTCCAGATGCTGCAGAGGCTCAGGACAAAACTCCACCCCATTTCTTACTCCTACAGCCACACCCCCCAAAATCCTTTCTGCTGCACTGGAAATGAAGAATGATTTTGCAGCTGAGGGATAAAAGCTAATAAACCCAGGGCCAGCCCCCGCAGCCCCTGTGCTGCCAGTCCAGAAGTGCTGCTCTGGCTCCAGCCCTCCGGCGAGGCTGCCCCTGGCTGAATCATCCCTGACCTGCAGGTCAGCTCAGATGTAATTATCTTGAAATACAACAAACGCCATCAATTTGCTGGTGTTTGAGGTGCAAAGGTTGGCAGATGGAGGAGGAAGGTTACACACCGCTCCACCCACCAGCTGTGGATGTGCCAGTTGGGACATGGGGCATATGCCAGGCAGGGCTGGCTGGGTGGATTTGGGAATGCTGTGCCCTGGGGGTCCTGTCCTCCTTTGCTGCTGCCAGTGGAGGAGGGGGCATGGTCTATGTCTGCCTGCTCAGCCGGGTGCTGATGGGGCTGGAGCATCCTGAGGAGCAGGAACAAGGTTGTGATACTTGAGCTGGTCACCTGCCCTAGGGCTTTGGTTCCCTAAAAAAACACGTGGTTTTTTTCCCCTGAGGGAAGACCAGGAGCATGGCAGTGGCAGAGACACAGGAATCTGAAGCTGGAGAGCATCTCCTGAATACCAAACACAACATGGAGCATGTGTGTCTTGCACTCTGTGGGAGCTGGAGCTCGCTCATCATGTCTTCCTCCACCACAACCCTAAGGAGCCATGGTCTCTGCTCCTGCAGACAGGAACCTTCACTGCACAGTCCTTCCGCACAGGAAATTGCGCGGTCTGGGGAATGTTCTGATGTAACTAAAGCACTGAGGAGCACCTGAGTGAGACCTTACCTCCCACGTAGGCGATGGAGAAGCCCCTCTTGGCTGTGTTGCGGTCAGTGTGGAGGACCAGGAGCAGCTGGTTGCTGTGGGAGGTGACGGGTGCCAGGCTCTCCCGCCCGCACCACCGGCCCAGCAGGGATCCATTCTCGGTGCCACCATCGAAGGCAGACAGGTGATCATAGTCACAGCCACCCGTCAGGCTGCTCCGGCCCTCCAGCTCCATGTCCAGGAAGAACACCTTGACCCGGTAGCCTGTGGGCAGATGGATGCTCCACTGGCACTTGAGGTTGTTGGGGTAGAAGCTGGGGTACTGTGGGCTAGAGAAATTCCCTTTGATAGCAGTGAACACCTCCTGGCACTCTCCTGCTCAGGGAAAAAGAGGAAGGGAAAATCAAAAGCAGACCCAAAACCCCCTGTGTGCGGATAAGCTGATGGGGAAACAATCACTTGTTTCATTGCCCTTCACCTCACTGCTCCCCAGCCTCGTGTTTGGCTGATGGACAGCCAGCAGTTTTGGGGTATGGAAACTCCCAAAGTGGCCAAAGTCCTGCAGGAGCACATGGGAAAAGCCACGTTCCCAGGAAATGGCATGAGCAAGGGAGAAAGGTGATTCTTGCTCAAGAGAAGGACAGCTCAGGGCCCGGGAAAGCTGCAATGATGCCATTTGCATTGTGTGGTGGTTTACACTTCACACCATCATCTCACAGGTTCTCACCATAGTGATCCCCTCCACTATCCTCTCCCTGGTGCAGGAGGGAGAGAATCACCATCCCTAAGTCCTTCCCACTGCCCCACCACCCAGACACCCCTGCACCTACCTGAGTAGAAATGGGCCTTGAAGCCCCTGCCACCGATGTTGAAGTCCGACTTGAAGATCACAAGGAGGTGTGGGGTGGAGGAGACAGTGCGGGGTGGGCGGGTGCTGCCGCAGTAGCGTCCCAGGCGGGGGGCAGTGACAGTGGGGCCATCAAAAAGGGCCACATAGTCAAAGCTGCAGCCCTGGCCCCCCTCCATCTGGAAGTCAGCAAACACCAGGGTGAGGGGGCCACCGCCACTGGTCCCCCCGATGCTCCAGCGGCACTCGGCATCGTTGGGGTAGCTCTCGGGGTAGCGGGGGCTGGTGATCTCCCCAGACAGCCCCGTCAGCTGCCCGCCACAGGCATCTGCAAGGAGGCACAGGCGATGAAGACAGTGGGACAGGATGGATGGACAGATGCTCCGCCACCACCATCCCTCCCTGATACCTTTCTGGTAGGCAGCGGCGAAGCCGTGCTTGGCCACGTGTCGGTCGGAGCGGAAGACGACAGCCATGACGTGCCAGGCGGAGGAGAAGGGTGGCGGGGGGCTGTGGCCACAGAAGGTGCCCAGGAGGTTGCCCCGGTCGCGGGCAGCCCCGTTGTAGACCTGGAGGTAGTCGTAGGCACAGGCATCGTGGTACTCCAGCTCGAAGTGGCTGAAGGAAAGCAGGACGGAGGAGCCCTCGGCCACCACGATGAGCCACGTGCACTCCGTCTCGTAGGGATATAGCCCCGGGAAGTTGGGACTGGAGAAATTGCCAGAGGGTGCTGAAAGCACTCCCCCACATTTGATGCCTGTGGGACACAGAGGTGAATGTGATGTTCCCTTTCCAGGGGAAGACTAAAAGAACGGAGATGGGACACAACACTGGCTCCATCCTACCATCAGCACTACCAAAACACCAGCACCCTGCCGACCTTCACTGGGCTTGGCCACCCCCTCTCCTTGGAGGACACGTGCCCTCCATCACCTTTCATCCCTCCATGCGATCCCTTTTCCCCATACTGCCCCACTGTGTGGCTGCAGCAGGGCTGCCCTTGAGCTTATCCTGCCAGTGACAGCATGGTGTCCCCACCTATTTATGGCTGAGAAGAAGGAAGTAGAGAGTGAGTTTTAACGGCTCAGAGGTTCCAGGTTCTCTGGTGCCCTAGCTGCCCAGCCCTTCAGCTTCGTGCTTCCCACTGACCATCCTCCCTCCATATAACGGAGGTATCAGTGAATTTGAGCTGGGAGAAACAGGGGTGAAGGGCTCGATGCACTGAACAATGAGTTATGCATGTAGGGATCGATTTCCTAATGAAATCTTTATACTGAGACATGGTTATTATAAAATAAGGCTGGGAAGGGGGCGACTGTCACCTGCCCCCGGGTCTGATTAGGGCTGGGGTGAAGAGGCTGATATAGTGGGCACATACATCATGTCTGGGAGGGACGCAGACCCTGTGTAGCCCTCGGGAGACACGTGTGGGTTCCCAAACAAGGCTGGGCACTCACTGCCATCAATCTGGGCCAAGTGTATTGCAAATCAATAGTCAGCCAGTGCACATTGCTTTTCATCATGCTCGCTGGCACGGTGACCTCCCAGCGAGGGGGGGTCCTGCAGATGTGTGGGATGCAGCACCGTGTGTGTGTGTGTGTGTGTGTGTGTGTGTGTCTGCCCAGATCTAAAATCAACTTGCTAATTGCTGGGGATAGGCAATGAAGTAATACAGGGGTGGTACTAAAGAAATAATGTTGTTGAAATAAATACCCAAGAGGGGAGCCTGTGGGAGAGGCAGGTAGCCATGTTGCAGACAGATGGATGGATTAAGGGTTGGGAGCCTTTGGGGTGCTCAGGGAAGCCCAGGTGGGAGGTGAGGTGGCCACTCAGGAGCATGTGCACTAGAGTCAGGGATGAGGTTTGGTTTCTGATGCAGTCCTTCTGTAAGAAAGGCCCTGCTGTTTTGGGGAGAGGGATTGCTCTGCCCACCCCACCCCCCAAAATAATGCGTCAACTGCTAACCCTGTCCTGCAATCTGAGGGGCATTTTATACAGAGAGGTTTATTCCATGCCTGTCACATACACACACATACATATATTCACATTTAAATGTAAATGTATACGTGTGTGTATATAAACGTATATGTTTATATAGGCAAGTGAACTCCAGAAGTTAACAAACCCTTCACCAAAACACCTGCACATCACAACAGGACAATTCCTACCTGCAATCCTCAGTAAGATCAGTGTGACGCAGAACACCAAGCACAGAGCAGTGTCCCGCACTTGCTGCTGCACACAGTGACTCCAGATCCCAGACCCCAGCTCCTGGCCCTGACCAAGGAGCTGAGCCAGCCCTCTCCCTGAGAGAGAGCTGGAACCCGCTCGCACCCCAGAGCCGCTGTGGCACCCGCAAACAGCCCTCTCCTCCTCAGGGACCATGGATGCCCGCCTGGCCCCGAGGTTCCCACTGGGAGCTGGGACCAGGTTCTTACCTCTGCTGGGAGCATCCCCGAGAGCCCCGCAAAGCACGGCCAGTGCTGCCAGGTATCCCACCCCTGTGCTCCCCATCCTCCAGCAGGAAAACCTCCCCTCACCGGCACCCGAGCATCCTTTTGGAGCTGTCTATTTGGAAGGAAAAAAATAAATAAAGGGAGAAATAAATAAAAAGCAGGAGGACTGTAGAATTAATAGCAGAATGAATAATTCATCGCTTGTTTGAATTAAGAGCAGTAAGGTAACTTGATCTATTCCTCCCTTCCTTCACTCAGTTTTAATGATCTGGATCAAATGTCCCAAGGATTTACACTATACCAGATACCTTGTCAATACACTATATTTAGAAGAGATATTAATGTTTCAGATATGGTGTATAACGGCAATAAGTCTGGGCTGACAATATGCCCTTAAGGGGCCATGAAAATAATTTAGTTTGCCAGGCAAGCCAGCAAACCAAAATGGGAATTTCAGACTTACCGCGGAAAAGCACCTCAGGAATTAACATGATTTATACTGCGGCACCCACTGCACAAAGCCAGCTGGTGGTAAAGGCTAGAGAAACAGGGAATGGGATTTAAACGCGGCCGCGTCTCCGCGCCGGCTGCCAGGTCAGCATCCCTGCAGCGGGAGTCCAGGCTCAGCGGGATGCTCAGCCCAGGAAAGCGGCAGTCGTGAGCACTAAAGATAGCAAATCCCACCTCCCCCGAGGAAGATTAGAGATGAATTGTGACTCATGGGCAAAAAAACATCGATTATTACAGAACCTGCTAAGGCCTTGGAGAATTGCCACGTTCTTCCATGCCGGCTCACACTCCTTGTCACCCAGGGTTTTGGGTGCACTCAGCTGAAGGTAGTCAGGGCTTAGGGTTTGGTGGGAAAGATGTGCTCCTTGTGCTGCACCACATCAGCTGGAGAACCCCAAACCCAGCAGCGGCTCAGTTACTTCCCTCACGCCCTGGAGAGAAAAGACTTTCCTGCTGCCACAGCCCACACCCAGATGAATGCCAGGAAACAAAATCCCACAAGGACCTCCTGGCATGAGGGACCTGTGCTAAAAAAGTCACCTTCAAAGCAGCAGGGAAAGAAGCAGCGAGTATCTCTAAATCTCAGGCAGGAGACAAGTTGCATTTATTAATTAAGCAATGAGGATCGATGCCTGAGACATTTCCTGTGGATTAATGATGGGCTGGGAGGAGCTGATGGCCTGAGGTGCAGCTAAGGACCATTAACACCAACTGGTCATGAATCCCCAGGAAATGCTCCATGCCAAGGTCATTAAGTGCCTGCATATATTTATGGGGAATAATAACAACAGTAATATTTGTACAGGCTCTCTCTCCACTGCCTGGTCTCACTGGAGCCATGCCAAGGGCTGCTGCGAACATTGGGGCATCCCAGCCAGGAGCCCTCTGTCCTAAGCCCAGCTGAGGTGGAGAACTCTGGGTTCTGCCCTGGGGTGTCTGTCCTGGGGCACTGGGCATTACTTCACCCTACCAGGACTAAGGGCACATTGGAATAAGGAGGTGCAGGGCAGCCCTCCCTGTTCCCAGGTACTGTGTGAAGCTCCTGCTCCAGTGCAGGCTCTGGGAGATGCTGCGATGCTGTCGCGTATCCTGCTGACCTCCCATGGACACTGCAGAGCTTAATTAGCTGCTTCCCTAATGGCTTGGAGAGGAGGTCTGTCCCTGTGCCTTGTGAAACACGTGTGGAGCCATGCAGCAAAGAGGCAGGAGAGATCTGGCACCGCAGCCCCTCCTGGATGTTTCCATTGCCACAACCCTGGCTCAGTCAGGAGGAGTCCCAGCCATGATCCTCTGGGCTAGGGTACAGTGTGCTCCCTGACTTCTCCATCGCTGCACTGCAGAGCAACATGTTCATCCTGACTGCATCCACCTCCAGCAACAGCCACTGCCCTCCAGCCTTTCCACCACTGGCCTGAGCAACGGGGCACATCCCAACACAGAGCCAGCATCCAGGGAACCGGTACCTACAGAGCTACTCCTCTCCATCCCTCCAGCTGGCCATAACCCCAGGAGATGGTGTCACTGAAAATCGGTGACAATGAGGGGGTCAGGGCTGTGCAGCACAGCAGCTGTGCCCCCCTCCCAGGAGACGGCATCCATCAACCACCGGCACATTCACCCTTCTCCTGACCTGGAGATGGCCATTCCCAGGCTGGGCCTCAGCCCAGGCAACCTACTTGTCAGCTGCAGAGCCAGGCAGGAGCGGGAGGCAGGGGGAGAGTGAGAGGCAGCAGGGAAGCAGACAGAGGAGCCAGGCATGGAGGTCTGGCTGGAGGTTCTCCGGATCAGCCCAGGGTATTTTGCTCCAACCAGACACGGTGGGTGATTTCAAGGTGTGCCATATTGAGGCTGCCTTTGTTCCTCTGTGGGCAAATTTATAAATCGTGAGTCAAAAAGGCATTTGATTCATTTAAACAGAAAGGACGTGATCAGGACTGTAAGACTTCAGAGAAGATCAAAGGTTTAAAAACAGTCCCCAGGAGAAACAGGAATTATTTAGGCAGGAAATAATGAGATGAAATTAAAAGAGTATTTAGGCTGCACATGAGGAAGAAGAAAGGAAGCAAAGCGAAGCCCCTCTTCCCAGCACAGCACTGCATGGGCAGCAGGGGCTTCCTAGAGGGCAGTCAGAGACCAGGGGCATCCCACCAGCATTCCCCTGCCTGCCAGGAGAGGCAGGATGTGAGCCCCTGCCCTGTCCAGGCATTGGTCACCCACCACTGCAGGGAGCTCTCGCACCTCATGCTCCACAGATCCCCCAGTCACAGATCAGCGCTTTCCCCATGAAACTGACACCATGGGGTGGTTCCAGGCCTCCAGAAGAAAGGAAACCTGTCAGCTTCCCTTGGCAGGGAAAATCCTGCCCGAGAGCCTTTCCACTCTGTGTCTCTGCCTTTGCAGGGTTCCACGCCAAGGTCTGAAAGGGGTTGTCCCCATGGTGGATGGCTGGGACGAGGGGACTCCCTTGAGGGCCAGCCTGAGAAACAACAAAAGGCAGGAGGGGGAAGGGAGAGAAGGGTAGAAAATAGAGAACAAAGTGCCTAGGGGCAATTTAAAGGCTCCTTCAAGTCCCTACTTCCAAGGACATGGAGAATGTCTCGCAAAGACCCCTGTCCCCTCCGGCACAGGCAGCACCTCCTCCTGCTCGGCCGCAGCCGCCGTTGCAGGATCGCATCCCGCAGCACTCACAGCTTGCTCCGTCTCTCACCACCCTCCCTTGGAGCCACGAACAAAGACGGGAGCGGCGCGGCAGAACGGCCGGACCAGCTGGGGAGGGTTTAACCATCGTGGCCCATATGTGCTGAAATACCCAGACATATTGGGGTTGTGTTTAAAGGAACACTCCCAGCTTTCTCGCAGAAAGCCGTCGCTTTTCCAAAGCGAGCGTCAAGTTTTACCTCGGGCCTTTGCAAAAAGGCTGGGTGGGTTGTTAGCAAAATCTAAAAAAGATAAAACATTTAAAGCAAGAGGTATATAAGCAAGGTTTTTGAGTACTTAATATCTGACAAAAATATTTTTTCCATTTTCCTAGCCAAGCCCAAAGTAGGGAAATCGACTGGAGAAAGCATCTCCTTATTTTATCAGCCCCATGCTGTGCAGAAGCATCTCCACTATGCAGTAACTTGCAGTGGCCGAAGCACAGCTTGGATTGGAGCTGAGAGCTTGTCTTGGACCGACCATGGACAACTTCCCTGGCTCAGCCCTTCCTCCAAGGAAGTGAACATAAAAGCTGCAGCTACACTTCATTAATTCCAGGCATTTGGTAACTGGAGACAAATCTCAGCAATGCAAGAGGAACTTACATTCCCTCCCAACGCGTGAATCAGAGCCACCACTTCAGTGCACACTGCTTATTTTGTGTAACAAACTACAGCTCCTTTGTGTAAGGTGTAGTATTAGATACAGGTACAAAATGAGGCGTGAATGATAATGCAACATCACCTGGCACAACTACAATACAGGATGGACTGGGAATGAACAGAAAAACACAAAGGTGTGCAGAAAGGTTGTATTTCCAGGCATTGATAGTAAACACAGTGATCTAAGAAGGTAAAAGAGTAGACAGCACATACCTTGGAGGGAAAGCAGAAGCATTTTGGACTAAAAGAGGAGGATGGGGAGCAGGTGCCCAGGCTGGGGGCTGTGCCAGGCTGCCTTCCTTTAGGCAGGTCCTTGGCTCTGCTCTCTAACCCCAGAGGAGCATGCCAGCAGAACCCCCGAAGCTTTCACTCCTCAAGTGGTGCTCCTGTGTGCTTAGGGAACCCCCTTGGGCACCTATGAGAGTCCTGTGACAAAAACAAACAGCTGTTTATTTGAAGAGAGGTTCAATTTAATGAGCCAGGGCTATGGCACAACACTTAGGGGACACGGAGAGCAAACAACCATCCTCCCTGACAAGTAGCAGCCACAACCTAGCTGTGTTCTCAGTTTTAGGACACATTCTTTGTCTTCCCAGTCAGTATTTCAAGGGTTAAGGACAGGGCAGGTAATGCAGGCTATGCCAGGGCAGGAGCTTAGCCTGCTAAGTCCTCACTGGGCATCACTATCCATCCTTATGGACAGTTTTTCCATATATGGTTGGAAAGGCTTTTGAGAGAAAAGCAGTGCCACCTTCTCTGTATTAGTGTATAATGGGGCAACTGAGGCACAGAGAGGTTGGAGTGACTCGCCTGACATCACCCAGCACATGACAGAACCAAAATGAAGCCCACAGACTCCAGACTGCCAGGCTAGTGCTCTGCCCTTGGCTTCTCCCTGAGGATGACATCTCTCCTCTGGACATCTAAGAGGGCACAATACCACTGCAGAGTAACATGGATTGCAATGCAAGTCACTGGTCCTCATTTTAGAGCAGAGCTGTACGTAGATGATTTTTAGTAACCCCCCCTTAGGAGATCTCTCTCTTAAAAATTGCACTTGAAGGCTTCCATTAAAATTACCACACTGTTCCCTGAGGTGTGGGTGGCACACCTTGTAGAAGCCACTCTGGAATGGCACCCATTCCTTAAAACACTCAATAATGAGACTCATACTGGAGACAAATAGTTGATCCAAAGGCCTATGAAGGTGGATGTCCAAGGAAGTCAGTCTACAGAGCTGACCCATTTTGTGCAATGTCTGCAGAGAAACAAGGACGTCCGACGCTCCTGACCCTCAAGGTTCCTGAGGTCAGGAATATCCAGCTAAAAGACAAAACAGGAATTTTCTTCAATTCCTGCTGCTTTCAAGTATCTAGTCATATCTTCATTGAATGCAGAAGAGCCGCAGATTAATACAAATGGCCTTCTTCGACAGGAATTTATTATTGTCTTCATCAAGTCTTCATTGAGACGACCAGTATATGTGTTTTCTTGATAGCTCCGAGGAAGTTTCTCCAATGAAGTTTCCTGAAAAGGCAAAAGGCTCGCAGTGTGTCATGTTAAAAAGGACAACTGATTGCTTACAGCCAAATCTCCCTCCTCTCCTCAGAATACTGCATAGGATGTTTTCACCCTTGTGACACCATCTGGGTAGCACTGACCCTAACTGAGAGCTGCATTCATTTTCCACAGCCCAGATGAAATCTCTCCCTGGCCACTTTCTCAGGAGGGACTAAACAAAACCAGAGTATAATTATCACTAATAAATGCTGCAGAACCCTCTCCCTTGAGAACCACCTCCCAGTGCACCTTCCTTATTCCCAAATCCTAGATCCCAAGTCTATTCCCCTCTATTGCCTCTCCCATTCCCAAGTCTCTTTGAGTCCCATCTCCCTTGCCCAAAACTGAAAGAATCTAGCTCTGCTCCAAACACACCTCTGATCCCATGAGAAGTGTTTAGATCCCGTGGCATTAGAGCCAGTGGGGACTCCCCCCCTGCTATTAATCAGGAGGTGCTCAGATGTGGTGGTGACAGGTAGCAGAGTGAAATACAGACACAGACAGATATATAATCCCACGAGGGAGGATGCACGAGCCAGCCCTGGACTACCACAAACCTGCTAAGAGAAGAGGAGAAGGGGAGAGATGCACACACAGGGCAGACAGTGTTGACAGGGGTCAGGTGGGTTTCTTGCCCTTTGCTGATTGAATTTCAAGACCTCCTCATGCTCTTGAGACAGCACTCAAGAGTTTAAATACCCTGAAAAGGGTATTAAGCCATGTCACCAGAGACAATTATGGTTATGCTCCTCCAGAGGAGCTGAGGGGGTGCCCAAGTCACCAGTACTTTCCCCTTTACCACATCTCAACTTGCCGAGGCCACATGTGGAACAGAATGTAAGAGCCAGTTCCACTGTGAGAGATACAAAAAATGATTCATCCGAGAAACTAAAAATGCACTGGGATTCATTCCCTTAGCATAAATAATTCTTTCTACATCCTCCCTGCAATGAATCCTCATTTCTGACGGAAATAATTTTTAACCACCAAATCCACCCAGAACACAGGCAACTTTGGGACCAAATGGAAATGAAAACTCTGCTCAAAATGTAAGACCACTGAGAGGTATGTCCTCATCCCATGAATGTGGCATAAAAGTAATTTTACAGAGGGGTAAACAACTTTTAGAAGTTTAAAAATGGGTCAGCGAGGAAAAATAATTGCTGGGAAGTTGGTGGTAGCATACCAGAAAAAGAGAGCTCTAGCCATAAGCAATGATGGAGGATAAGGACAGATGCAGGCATTGGCATTAGGAAAGAAAAAAATAGTTTATTTGCTGTTTAGGTGCAGCAACAATTGTTTGAAGTGGGGGGAATAATGAACAGTGGCTATAAAAAAGCAAAAAAACTGAATAGCTCCCAAGGAAGCAGAGAGGGACAAGCAGTGATGGCCACCTCCCTGAAATTCTCCAGACCAGTAGCACTGTAAATACACATAACAGGTTTAACCACAGCAGCCACTGGATCACAAAATAGCCTGGATGACTTAGAAAGAATTAAGATCATGCTCAGGGAAAAGTGAAGGAGGCAGAGGCTCACCCAGCACACAGAACCCTCACATGAACCTCACATGCCCATTTATTTACCTGGCTTAGGACATAAAATATTCTGATGTTCCAGTATCGAGCCAGATCCTGCAGAAGAGGTTTCAAATAAATTTTGTCAAAGGTAGGGAAGCAGCCAACAAGAGTTACAAAGGTTTCATCCTCTTCATCATCTGTTATGGACTGGAGGATGGGAAGCATTGGTGCAAGGCCAGTGCCAGAAGCCAGCATGAGGAGTTCTCCATGCTAACAACAGAACAGAGAATTCGGAATGAGCTGTGGTGGCTGGAAATCGATGTGCTTATGGTCAGTTCCTCCTTGCTGCCACACTGGTAAAGGGTCCCTTGAGAGACAACATATCAGAAGGTCATGCACTGGTAAATTCAAATCTCAGAACGTATTTTTCTGCAAAGGATTACAGATAGTACTTCCAGGGTTTATATCTCAAATTTAGTGAAGCTGGATTTTACCCAAATATAATAATTTATCCTAACTCTAGCCTTGATTTCAAATAATTTATGTTTCAGTTTCAATTCTGCAGTACATTTTGCTCACCCGCTGTGTGTTTTCTCCCACTGGAAATGCTCCCTTGTTTGTCTTGGATGCTGCAAAGTACAATCCTGAAGGACCCCTGGAGGAAATGGGTTCTTCTCCATCCTTATCTACGTGTCCTCCTGGTGCATTATCTCAATTATTTTTTCAGAGTAGCACACAGAGCTTTCCACCTTCAAGGGAGGACATTCACTCTACTTGGAATAGATGGGATGTTCAGGCAGTAAGGTGTTGTGTATAAGAGAACAGAAGGTTCCCAGCACTTTCCCAAGCTGCCAGCCAGTGCGCACCAGTGCTAGAACTGGGACTTAAGCCCCTCAGAGGCTGCTTGTGTTCTGTTTTGACTTGGCATTTTATTGTGAATGGATCTGATTTGCCTGGATCAGAGTCCTGAGCAAGTAGAGATAAACAAAAATTTTATTATAAAACTAAAAGTCAACCTATGTTGTAATTCCTAAATAATAAACAGTTTTTCACAGCAAGTTGTTTTAAAGATTGCTCAGGTGCTTTGCAAACTGCATGTACACAGATCATGCACCACAGCATCACAGAATATTCTGAGTTGGAAGAGACCCACATGGATCCTCACAGTCCGACTCCTGGTCCTGCACAGAAGTCCACTTCTAGGCAAGACTGCTATGTTCTGTCCCAAATGATTATCTGGAAGTTTTTAAAAAGAGAAGGAAACAGTAACCTAAACTAGCAAGGAGAGTCTTTCAGGAAGCAGGACACCATATGCATAGAGCTCAGCTACTCAGATTTTACAGCTTTACTTTGGGGGGGGTGGGGGCGGGAGGAAGGAAGCCAAAAAACCCACAAGGTTTGGGGATCTTAATGACCAGTGTTTCAGTTTTGCTCCTCATTTGAAAGGTCAGAATTAAGTAACCACATTAGTATGTGTGAGAAGCCTCCCCCTGAAACTGGATCTGCCTTCCTTTGCAGCCAGCCTGGTATCGGCAGGTGGGATCAGCGTTTGTGGAGTGGCTGAGTGACCTGACACCTCACTGGAGCTGCTGTAGTTCAGGGAATACCCAAGAGAGAAGAAGATTAACACCTCCCCTTTGCTCACCCAAGAGAGAAGAAGATTAACACCTTCCCTTCACTCCTGCTCAGTGACAAAACAGTGATGTGGGTCAAACCAGGCAAAAACAGATCCACGCTCATTGCTGGTGGAAAGTAAGTTCCCTTTGTAAAGCACATCAGGAATTTCTAATGCAAACGATGAACACAGAGCCTTGCTAATATTTTCCAGTCTCCCATCTACCTCCCTCTCCTCTTCCTCCTTAAATATTCTGCAGTTCAATAAGGTGTACATGCTCCAACTGACTGCTAATGCCGTAGCACTGTACAGTAACCCAGAAAGTCCCTAAAATAATAATGAAAACAGCAATCAAATTGATATCTTCCCTTTAGAGTACTGAACAAATCTGTCTGCCACAAGGTGAAGCATCCTGTGTCTCTTAAGGAACTAACCTTATTAGGTCGGTATGGGAACCCTCCAAACGGCCCACGCCAAAAGACCACGTCTCCTTTTTTCCACGTTTTTATGTATTGTGACATCAGCCCAGCTTCATAGCACTAATAAAAAACATTGCACAAAAGAAAAGAATAATTATACTCAGTTGGAAAGTTTCCCAGCTTAAAGTCAATTATAAAGTTATCTACATTTAAACAAAAAGGGGACAAAAAAACATTTTGTGTGTTTAAAAAGAAAGACTTTTCTGTTTAAAAAATAACTCAGAGTTATACCCAAAACAAAGACATTTAAATTAAATCATATTGGATCCACTCCAGCTTGACTATAATGTAAACACAAGACCCTCTCATGCAGTCTGAATTTCCAAAAGTGGAAAAAGCTTATCAGAGTTCTTGCTTACAAAGCACACAGAGAAGAGTGTCTTGAATGCAAAGCACAGTCCAGGCCTTCAAGCGTTCTCCAAATCTCGGGGTTTGGGGTCTGGAAATGCCCTCTGGGTACCGTTAGTTATACAAACACTGCATAGCTCTTGCTTTATTTCAGTCTCTCAGATGCTGTGCTGATACAATTAGTGACTCAAAGCCAGGTTTCTCATTTGTAAAACTCTCGTTTTCAGAACAGATCATCTGGATGCTAAGGGATGCCTCCACGTTTTCAAAAGAATATGTTAATGTTGGCCTCATGGAAGAAAAACATTAGCAAAAAAAAACTGCCTTACTTTCTACCAGGCACAAACAATATTATCCAGGCTGTTGCCTGCAGGAATGCTGATCTCACTCCTGACTGATGAGAAAGGGTTGGTGCTTGTTAGAAACAGAGAAGGGAGGAGAGGCTGGAAAACGAAGGGTTCATCCAAGGAATCTTGTTGCTATCTGCCATATGTACATCCATGCCCCGTATGTATGACCACTTTATGATTAAATAGAACAAATGTGAGCCAAAGAGCAGCCATGGTTCGGGATGTGGCTGGAAAACAAGGACTGGTCCAAACAGCAAGAGCAGGAAAGCCCAACAGCTGCGGCTCACAAGTGGTCTGGTGCAGAGGTGATGCCCCAGATAAGCCTGGGGAAGAGCAACACAACCAGAGGTCAAAAGATGGGATGTGATATAAGCCTTTGACAACTCCAGCCCACACAAAAACAGAGTATTTTGGGGTATTTTCTGCACACAAACTGGAGAGAAGCCCAGCTCCACGCCCCAGTGCCTTGGCTGGCCACCAAGCTGCACTGCAGGCAAACGAAACTGGTAAACCACAAAGCAGCTCAGAAAGAGTGAGCATGTGCTTGTGCTTGCAAGCAGTGTTAGCTAATAAAGAACACAGACGCTCCTCCCCTCCTAACACCTCACTTAAACCTGAAGAACTATTAGCACCAGTTGCTACAGTCAAAAGGTAAATTAAACACACATCCAGGCTCTGAGTTACTGTCAGAAACATTTTATGTTCAGAGGGCTCAGGCAGGTGCTAAGTCTCACACAAGGAGTGTGCAGTTGCATCAAAGGAGCATGTTTTATACCTCCCTTCTCCATACACACATGGAAACTCAAGGCAAGGGCAGAAAAGTCAGCCCCACTTACTGCCTATTCCCAAAGGACCATAGTAATGGAAACTAAAACAATCCTTCTTTCACCAAAATTATTTCCAAAAAAATTGAAGTGAGAAGTGATTGAGTGGGTTTAAAACCCAATTTTTCTAAATAAAAAGAAAAAAAAAAAAAAGTATCTCCTGGGGGAAAACTTCTACACCCAGTTTTACATGGAGAGAAACCTTAACATTATAAAATCACTCAAAAAGAGGGTTATGCTCTGTAAATGGCAACTCCCTCACTCTTAACTGTAGTATCACAAATGCAATGCTATAATAACAGGAGAGAGAAGTGTTTGAACAGTGCTTGGCTTGCTTAGTAATAATAATAATAATATAGTACTTTCCAAAATTGCCTGAATAGTGTGAAATATACCACAGCCTACAGAGTGAGTTATAAAAATGGCTGCTTTACACTGGGTGTTACCAACCTCTTTTGTCACTGCCAGAGAATAACTACAGCTCCTTTTGGGATGAAAGGTTCTATATAAAGGAAAGGTATCATTACAATCATTACTATTATTATTGAAATGCAAAACCTGTGAGTAATGAGCCGCTATACATGAAATTTCAGTCATCCTGTGAATGTATCCTATTAATGCAACTCAAATGTAATACTTCTCTCCCCTACCACTCACCAATTGCCACAAGAATGAGGAAATGACCCTCCCACAGGTGTCCTACAGCAGCTGTTCACTTCTCTAAAGAACAGGGTTTGTATTTGAACGTACAGAGCATAATAAACCCCAAAAACGTGAAATCCTGGAAGACAGGCAGAGGACAAGTGGTCATCCTCTGCAAGCCACCTGGGTTACCCAGCCCTCTGAATTTCATACCTGTACTGAAGTCTGTGTCTGCCCTGAGGAATCGCTAGTGTCACACAAATACAGTATTGGAAAAATGTTCTTCCAATCAATATTTGCCACACAAAGTAATAATTTATGAGGGCCCTTCAGGCTTTATTCAAACCTCCTGTAAAATAATTTTGAACTCAAGCAACATTTTGTGGTAACCTCCAGAAGAGCCAGAACACTTGTCCCAGTCAGGGCTCTGCCATCCCATCCACCCTGACAGATGCAGGCTGTGTCCATGGGACACCCTTCTTCCCATGGAGACCCTCTCACACACCAGGAACAGTTCTCTAGAGCCCTGCCCACACACCAGGAACAGCTGCTCCCTGTTCCACTGTCTGTCTATATTTTTAAACAAACTGACCTTTTTTTCTGTGGGGTGTTCCTTGGAGTCAGATACAGTGGGAAGGATAAGGGCTGGACAAACACTTCCCAAAATCAGTGGTTCAATTGGGCTGATAACTGGGTGTGACTTCAAAGACAGACTGAAAAGGCAAAATGAAATGAAGGAAGCTGAACTGGTACCTCTTTCCACCTTGTTGACTGCTGGGCACCCAAGAGGTTCTCCCAAGTGCTTAACAGGGCTTCTGCTGCAAAGCCCTTGGCTTGTGTGTCACCTTTCTCTGCTTTCAGTTTTGTGGGAAAAAACGCAATTTTTATCAGCAAAGCACAACCGCTTCAAAACAACACAGAAAGAGTCCATGAGGGATTTGAGAGAGTCTCACTCCAAGTGCTGCCAGCATGCTTGGTTCCTAGAGAAAACACAGTCCCCAGCAGCTTAAACTCTACTCCATATTGTCCAGGCTTACTTACTTTAATTAGAACTTCAAAGTAACCTTCTGCATTCCCAGGGCTGATCGGAGTATAGGCTCGCTGGACCTCCAAACCATTCACTATTCCCCTGAGAAGAGAAAGAGGAACGCACGGTGACTTGGGCCATTGGGGATTAGCAAACTCCTGCAGCTCTCTGAGGAGACAGGGCAGGCAGCAGGTCCTCTTCCCAGTGGCCCAGCCTGTGCACAGGTGCAAAACACTTCCCTGCCACAGGTAAAAATCCAGGGGGGAACAAAATGGCTTAAAGGCACCTTTTGTTTTCCCAGGGGTGGCCCCAACTGTACCACATACAGCTGTGGGACACATCCCTAGAAGGGTGTTTGAGCCACTTTGTGAGAAATGGCTGAATGCACAAGAGTGGCAAAGGGGAGAGAAAACACTTCCGTGGTTAAGTCTGCTGTTCCCTTTGAGCTGGGGTCACTTTCTGTGTCCAGTCAGCATCTGGTAATTAAATAACAAAAACCAGGGCACAGCCTTGACCTGAGGTCTTGTCAATATAGACCGTATTTTCCTGTAAATCTTATAGAATATATCCACCCTGCTCTGACCATGAGAATTGATTGAAGTGACCAAACCTTTTTCTCTGCTGCCTGATGAGACAGGGCTGGAAGGAGGAGCACGTGCTGGCAGCAGAAACCAGCTGCACACATCAGCTCTTAACCTACTAGTAACGTCAACAGAGGCAGATCAATGGCATCATAACAGGACTTTTCCTATCTGGCAATGATCACCACAGATGGCTGAGAAACAGAAACTTTCCCCAAGTGGCCCCTTTCCGGCAAGCAATAAACTACACAGGAGGGTTGTTTTGCTAGAAGTCAGTCAGGCAATGCCTGGGCAATGGGGTTACACCCTGGGTGCTGAGTTATCCCAAGGTACAGAGCTCTTGGGAAAGTGCAGCTCATTGTCTTCATTCCAACACGATGGAGTAAATCATCTGTTGTAACATCTACTCTTTGGGTCTTTTTTTCTGCAAATGGATTTTCTTAATCACACCTAGTTCTTTCTGACCCACTGATGCAAGGATAATGCTGAAGAAAACTACAGCTTTGGAATGGTTTTTACCATGGAATTAGTAGAGCCAGCGAGCTCACGAGCTCTTTTCATCTGTGTCGTTGTGGAGGTACAGAAATCATGATTTGCCTGCTATGAAGCCTTTGTCTATTGACAAACCCCTACATATTAGGTTACATAATGCAGGCTGTTTAACTAGCACACAGAACAATACCTTAACACGATATGTTGTCCTAAACTCAATTGCAAGCTGCTGTTTCCCGGTAATTCAAATTTGTACTGGTAGGTGTCCTCTGTCAGCTGCTCCACCGAGCTCACGCTGAACGCAGTGAATGTATCTGGATTCAGCACTGAATTACTGCTCTGCAAGAACAACAATAAATAATTACTTGGTTAGATGGTGTCTTTTATGATTTCATTCTTCTCTGGAAGCAAACGTGCGTGCTAATTTAGCGCCCAAGATACTCAGGACGTGTATTAAACGCTGAGGCCCAGCGCAAATTCCAGCTCTCTGCTGATTCATTATCGTGTTCTGCAGTGTGCACTTTGGGATCTTGCATTTCCCCACCACCACCACCTTCTTTTTAAATTACATTTTTTTTACACCTTACCAGCAAGGTCATCCTATTATGACTCACTGCAATCATTTTCCCATGTCTAAAAACAAACAGAAATAATTCTGCTAAAAGTGCCAAGCACTGCTTTGGGGGCAACTTTGCAACCTACTGATGGCCACAGCAAACAGGAAATATTGTCAGTTGTTTCAGCTGATCTTTTTTGCTTGACCCAGCATAGTTAATCTTATGTAAAAGGGCACTGACAAGCTTCAAATTACACTCTGAAGACAACTGCTCCACCACACACAACACAGTTTTTTTCAGCCTCAATATATGAGCCAAAAAAAAAAATATAAGGAAAAGATGAAAAAGGTGAGGAAAACAGAGCTTCTCCGAGGAAACTCTGAGCGGAGAAGCTGCAGATTCAGGGCTGTAATGCGACACCAGGGAGAACTCGACACTTGGAAAATCACATTACAGCAGGGAGAGAGCAGCCAAGGGGGAGGGTGAAGCAGAGTTTGGGGAATTGCATTTACAGCCATCTCTTAAGGCACCACTTGAACCTACTGCTGCATCCCTCGCCCATCACCACAAGCCCAGACCCTAACAAGTACGATCAAAGCACAGGCTCCAGGATGTGATGGAGGTCAATCGACCTGCTCCCTCTTTTCCGTGAGAAGGCTTTTGTCTTGCTTTGCTTTGGCCCTCTCCCATTGTGCAAGCTCCTTCTCGTACAGGTCGTAGATGCAGGGTTTGCAGCCGCCGCCGCAGCACTGGGATGGAGAAGGTTCCTGGGGTCTGAGAGCCAGCCAGTCCTCCTCGTTGCCACTCATTGCCTGCAAAACACAAGCCCTGCACCAAAACCAGCACAATGAAGACCGGCAAGTGCTGATCAGCCAGCCAGAAGGACTGACAAAAATCCCTCTTGAGTATTGTCCACGTGTATCTCAGGGAAAACTGAAAACCTGGAGCTGATCTGTGCTTGAAACACCCCACTTTTGTTTGAGCGCTCATTGCCTCGGCACTGTCCAGTGCAGGAATGCCAGACATCACAGCCAGCAGCCCAGAGCTGCACAGACCCTTAGTCCAGCCTCAGGCCCTCCTCCCCAGCCTGGCTGCCCAGCCAAAGCCACACTCTTTAATCCTGCTTGCTCTGCCGTGGTGATTTCCTACAAAAGAGTAGCTTGGTCACCCAGAGCAGAAACGTCTTAAAAATCTGCAGCTCAGTCCATGAGAACGGGTGACAAACCCAACCACCAAGACAATGGGTAACAAACCCAACCACTACAAGTGGCCTGAGTTGTGCAGCTTTGGAAGAGGGGGAAGGGCAATGAGCTGAGAGCTGGGTTTACAGCCAAGAGACTTGAGGCAGTCGGGGCAAAGTCTCAGGCAAACAAACTCTTTGGTTACAGGCGTTTAGTCCGCCTTTAAATGTAGACACGTAGGGAAGGGCAGGAAGCACAGGAGGGGAGATTTTATCCCTTGCTCCCGGTCCTTCCGAGCGAGCTGTACCCATCAAACACTCCTCAAGCCAAAATCGCACTGCAGACCTCGCAGGGACCCTGCTATTTTTACACACTGGCTGGTTAACGCTGCTCCCAATGCATTTATGTCCGTATTCCTTCAACGCAAGGGGGTCCACAGGAAATTATGAAGCCACGGGTGACCAAGCCGAGGCAAGAGAACATTTAGCGCTTCGAGCAGCGTCACTGTCAGGGTCAATTAATTAACTAACCTTCACCGCCGCAACACAAATACACTTATTTTAAGGATGTGGAGGAGGAAGAGAGGACCAAAGGCGACTGGTCCGGCTGCCCACAGCGACCGCTGGGGACCCCGAGCACACATGGGCTATGAAAGAGGGGTAACCCCGATCCGGCTGTGGGCGAACCCGGAACCCGCAAGGCTCCGGGTTGGGCAGATCTACAGAGTTTCGAGGACTTCCCGAACGCACCAAAGGGCCCGGACACACCGCCCGGGGGGCACAGCGGCCCCGGCACTCGTGTGCGCGCCCCAGCGCCTCCCGCCCAAGGCCGGTCTCTCAAATGACCCCCGGCCCGCAGACCAGGAGCCGCCTCTCCTCGCCCGCCTCCCCACTTACCCACACGGCAGGCACCCTCCCCCCGCCAGGCAATTTATTTGCCGACTCTCCCTCACGGTGGGGCGCGCCCGCCCGCCATTGGCCGCCGCCGCCGTCAGTCACCGGGGGAGGCCATGGGGGACGGTCCCCCCAAGATGGCGGCGGGCGGGCGCTGAGGCGGCGGAGGGGAGGAGGAAGAGGAGGATGGCAGTGGCGATGGCGGCGGGGCCGGTGGCGCTGAGGCGGGCGGGGGCGGCGGCGCGGGGCCTCACCCGCGGCATCCTCACCCGCGCGGGGCGGCCCCGCCACCGCGGGCCGCTGCCGCGCACGCCCTGGACCACGCGCGGGCCGCCGCCCGAGGTGCTGGCGCGGGTGGTGGAGCGGCGGCCGGTTCGGGAGCAGGTGGAGCTGGACACCATCACATGCGCGGGACGGCAGCACCACTTGCCTGGCCTGGCCTGGCCGCGCTTCCCGCCCTGGGACCGCGGCTGGCACGACCCCTGGCACTCGCCGGGGCCGCGCTACGAGGAGATGCCGCTGTACAAGGAGCGCGGGTGCTTCATCTGCCACCAGCGTACCCGAATGCTGGAAGGTACCACACACCCGCTCTGCCCCCAGCACTGCCCCCTCCACAGACACTCACCCTGCTCTGCCTGCGAAGGCTTCTCCTTACACAGAGTGTTAACAGAACACGGGCTGTGAAGAGCCTGCCCAGCCTCATGAGCTGCGTGGCAGCCTCGGTAACATAGTGCAGAATTCATAGAATGGTTTGGGTTGGAAGGGGACCTTGAGGGTCGTCTCTGTCACCTGTGACATACCGTGCTGGGTTGTGTTTGCAGGGGTGCGGCAGGCGCAGTGGCTCACCAAGACGAAGCTGGTGGAAGGTTTGCCTCCATCCGTGCAGAGCATCCTGGATAACCCGGCCCATGGGCTGGAGGAGCACGAGGAGCGGGTGAAGGACGCGATCTCACACGCACGGTTCTGGGACACCACAGAGGTTGCTCCCAAGAGGGAACATTTCTGGTGAGTCTGCAGCTGTAGGGAAAGTTTTTAACACTACAAGGAAAATTCGAACGCAGATGTACTGTTGAGAGACTCGCTTGCTGTGTGAAGTTGTCATCTTGTAAAACAAAGGAACAACCAAAACAACCAATAAAGTGCAATTTTGAATATTGATAGTAGCACTGACATAAACAGTATACTATATTAAAGCTTCTTTCAAGCCAAGGTCTCTATTTCAACTTGAGATCTACTTCTAGCTGATGCAGAATATCAATTTTTAAAATAATAATTGTAAGCATTACCTCTGCCAACTTGGAACAGGATTGGTGTGTGTGATATTAATCTGCAGTCTCTGTTAACTGTTTGGAAATGTTATGCTGTGATATGTTTTACATACAGTAATTTTACATCATTTGTGCCCCAGAAACACTTGCCTGCCCTTATGATCCCATTTTTATATAACATTTTTTTTTCTCCTTTTAAAGCCCAGTGCTGTTTGAAGACTTGATGCATTTATGCCGGTTAATGTCTAGGAAGTATCCTGCTCTGAGTAAAAGGATGTTGGCTAGAAACTACAGGATAGCAGCAACATGGGAAAGAGGTTAGTTGCTGCCACAGTGGAAGCATTTAGCTCTTTAAGATAAGAGGGATAACAATGCTGCTGGCTTTAAGGATGAGGACTTGGGGAAAGTTAAACAATTTCTGGAACCCTGCAGGTAATTATGGCTGTTCTGAAAAGTGCTGTCAGCATGGGCAGCCTTGGATGATGGCAGGATATTCTCCCTGAGAACATTATTATGTGTTAGACAATATTGATGATATGGTGGGAGAAGAGAACCAGCATCTTGGACCTGATTGTTTATATTTTTGTGTCTCAAAACAGTACTGTTGTTTTTCTAAGTATGTGTAGTTAAGAACACCAGCAATTAACATTGGTATATTAGAAGAACAACCTGCGGCTGGGCTACTATTTAAGATGGATTTGTAGATGAGGGGGAGAGAGTGAGCCTTGCAGAATAGACTTACAAAGGGAAATGTATGTCTTTCACTAATCTGATTTCACCAGTGTTTGAATGTAGTCTTAATTTCCCTCCCCAGAATCCACTCTTCTTCAGGTCCGTGGCCTTAATGGAATACTCATGAACTCTATGGCCCCAATACCACCAGTAGCCTCCAAGGAGGAGATACTGGCCACCAAAGAACATGTTCTGGAGACCTTCCATCCCATCTTGCCTACAATTGATCTTGAGGAGGTGAATGTGTACAAAGAGCTCAATGACACAGGTAAATCCTGCTGTTGATAATAATATTGTCAGTGTTTGGGTTAACCTGGAGCCCTTGTCTGTCTGTGAGGCAGCTGAGAGGAGGAATTGTGTGGGAATGAGGGGACAGAGGAGCTGGGTACAGGAGTGCAATGCAAGCGCTCCAGACTTGTGGTTTAGCAGGGTAGTGGGGAAGAACTTAAACCCCAGCAAATTGCTTTAACACTTCCTGAAGATAAAGGGAGAAAACATTGGCTGCGTAGTGTCACTGAGCGATTTCTGACATGACTATCTGCTGTTCAGGTTTCAGAGATGGTTATCCCTACTCTCATCCTCACACTCTGTTCTTCCTGGAGTCAGCCAACATTTGCCCTGACAGGTTCAGACCAGAACAGCTCCGTGCTAAAATGCTGATGTTTGCTTTTGGCAACGCGCTGGCCAAGGCCAAGGTGCTGTATGGGGTACGTATGGCAGGCTGCTGCTGGGCCTTTGTTCCCCCTCTCGTGCTGCAGCGAGTGGAGAGAGTCCTGAAGTTCCCTTACCATGGCACATTACAGTACTTTTCACATCCAGACTTCCCCATCGAAAGGTCTAACCCCAGCCTTCAGGTTACTGATGTCTCCTGATCCAGAAATCCACTGCTCAGCAATAAGTGTGTTCGTGATGTAACATGCACTGGGGTGGTAATGGGCAGGAACCAGGGAGTAAGTTCAGCTCTGACCCATCCCACAGCTCAGTATTTAAATTGACACTTCATTGCTGGCTGAAGGAGGAATTTTAATTAAAATACAAAATCTACATTCAAAACTTGTTTGACTAGAGTAATTTTCTGGGCAAGGTAACAATACATTTATTAAAATCTTGGCTTTAAACCAACTCTAAGATGCAGAATCAGCAAGTACTCATACAATTTCTGTGGTAACCAGCTTTTAAAACATTCTCCCCCACCCCCTCTTCTTTTCCTAGAATGATCCCAAGGTTTTGGAGGAGCCAATAGTGGTGCAAAGCATTGGCACAGATGGCCAGCTCTTCCAGTTCATGGTGTTCCAGTTAAATACAACAGACCTTGTCTCTGGCGATGGCATAAAAAATCTAGTGTGGTTTGACTCTGATCAGAAACTGTATGAGACGGCCCAGTGTGTTCCAAAAATCAAGAAGAAAGTTGTAGTGGTAAGCAAACCTTGGGAAGTGGTCCTGGAAATCCTGCCCTTTCACCTCAGTGGAGGGGGGGTTTGAGAGCTGGTGCAGAGCTGCAGCAGGTTTTAAACCAGCTGAAGGGACATGACACAGGCACTGGCCTAGTTATTCCCTAAGCAAGTGTTCCTGAGGGGAACAGTTCCTGAGTGTTTGTAGTGCTGATGTGCCACATGCCAAGCTTAATATGAACTCCTGTGTACAGATATCCCTGTCTGTAATCCACCATCTCATAATATGCTTGTTTAAAACCAGCCCTGATGAAGGAAGTGCTTACATGCAGCTGTCAGCCTTGCTGGGGAGTAAACAGAGCACGGGGCTGTCAGCACTGGTTATACTGGGAGGGCATCTCACTGATGGGCAAGGGGATTCGGCTCTCTGAGACTGACACCAGTGGAAGTACCCCCACACAAACCCCTCTGGGGAAGAGAGCACAATTTGGAAGCTACCACGCCTGAAAGTCTTATTCAAGCATGTTTAAAGCCGTTGTTTGTCTACATTAATCACTTCACTGCAAACTGAGCATCCGTGTCTTTTTCTCTGCAGAAGCCCGTTGGAATTCATGGCTTTCAGCCAGACACATTCAAGAAGTTTCTGGCACTGTATCTGCATGGAACTGTGTGAAATTCAGCTCAAATGAAAATACTTCACCAACTGTACCTGCTGCTGCTTTTTGCCAGAACCGTCACATAATTAAAGAAAGGTGGATTAATTTACTTTTAAAAATAAATTATATTGTTACTGAAAGTAAAGTATTTTTTTTAAAACTAAGTAGTGCATGAAGAAACTCTTTC